ATTACAGAGGCAGAGAAAGAGAGAAAGAATCCAATTCCCTAGCACAGCATTCAACTGCTTGGCCCAGCAATCCACCTTCTTTCTTTCTGCAAGCCCCTGCCTCATTCAGTACATGTGGTCCAACATGTGCAAATGCAGCAGAGGTCCTAAAATCAAGAGTCTTTTTCAGCACTCTGCTCAAGTCATCCCCAAACTAGGTTCATTGTGTGAGCTGAATGAGGAATGAAACCTGTGAAAAGAATAGCATTTAATCTTGCAATTAAAAAAAAATCATAATGTGTTTGCATAAAGGAACCAAATATAAGCTGCACAGTCAAACTAAATTCCAGCACTTCCAAATTTTTCAGGGCTTGATTGCAATCTTGCTATGTGTTAGGGTGACAGTATTTGGATCTTGGGGAGCACTGGATTTGCAGCTGAAAAGGGCTTTCATCTGTGTCTCAGCAAAAGCTGCTGGTCACAAGGCAAAATGATATATTAAAAGTAACATTGCAAATGCTTAGGCAAGCAGTTTCCTAACAATGGGGTAGTGTGTAGGATCTATGGTGTAAGAAGAACAAGATGCAGCCCACCAGCTATTGTCAGGACGTAAAGCAGAAGCCAGACCTTGGAGATGAAGGAGTCAGCAAGAAACCAGAAAGAACCGGCAAGTGACTGGGAGAAGCCAGGTTCATGGCCTTACACATGCGCGCTTAGCAGAGAGGCATGTAAATGAATGAAATTCATAGGCAATTCCATGCTAATGAAGTAAACAGTAAACAGAGGCGGAGCTTGAGATGGGAGGAGAAATGAGTGGAACAAAGGAGGGATGAAGGTGGAGTGAGTGTTAATGAGTATGAACCAAGGTGTATAAAATGTGAAAAGAACTCATGTTCACTGCAGGTCCCCTGGTTCATGGGCTGTGTCTGTGAAGCACCTGGCCTGAAGCTGTCTCCATCCTGAATAAAGCTGTTGTGAGCAATGTGTGCTGCTGTTTGCTCCCTGCTTGCTCTGGCTAATGAGTAACAGGACCCATGAGCGATTGGATCATTGTCTCCCTAGTTGTTGGGCGCCGCATGGTGTCGGGGTCTAACATGATGTTTCTTGGGTGTAATTTCCTGGTTTCATGAAAAAGAACCCAACAACGACAACTCTCCCACCCCGACTTTTCCCCAACATCTCCTCCCTTACCCCCTGAAATGTTATCCTGTGGCATGATAACACCCACAAAATCAGCACATCTATAACCTTTAAATTGACAAATGGCTTTCTGCCTTACGGTGAAACCAGCAGCAAGAAGATTGCTACCCTCTAAAAGTATAGCGGTGTTTGAGAAAAACGAGACACACGTTGCCAGTGACATTCACACATATTTGCTCATCATAGAGCAAGGGAAAGACTTGGGAAACTTTTCTTCTAGGCTCTAAATGAGACTGACTCAGTGGGCTGCTGTCTTGTTTTTTCTGTTCTCCCAAAGCTCAGTGCTTGCTACCTCCTCCACCCCCACCTGCCCCTTCCCCAGTTCTGACTCATCCCCAAGCCTGGCTCCCTGTACTACAGCCATTCTCCTTGGCTCCACTCTTCTACTCTTCACTCTTGTGGCTTTTTACCCCGTTATTGGGTGTTTGATCCAGGGCATTTCAGTCTCCTGCTCTGACTTTGCTGTCCATTTCTTAATCTTCCCCAAGCGCAGTCCCTCAGCTCTTTGCTACAGATCATCTTTGCTATAATAGAGAGTTTAAGTTATTTAAAAGTATAAGGTCACTACAGCAGTATCTCCAGCCTCCAATGTATTATAAAATGTGAAGACACATATGTGCCTTATATATTATAATCTGTCCAGTGTGCTGGAACAAGCCATTTGTCTGAAATACTGTACATATGCACTCTACAAAGAGCAGCTATTTTTCTGAACCTCTGAATATTAATATTAATGCAATACTCCAAAACAGCTGAGGAGACACAATAGGGGAGTTAAGAAAAGGTGGGCTGTGATCTGTATAGCAAATCTGGGACCAAGCAATTATTTCTATCACAACAAATCACCCTTAATCTACTTCTCATCGTGATCTCTCATCAGTGACTTGGGTCTCATTTTTTCTGACATCCAGGCTACATTTCTTTTTACATTGGTAGTTATTTAAAATAATTCCCAATAAGCTGTTTGGATCTTGTTCCAGCCTTACAGCTTGAAGAAAATTTAAGGGCTACTGGTAGTAATCATCAGTACTCCTTTGGCTTTTAACAAAGTTTCTAGTAAGATTAACGGACTTGCAAGTCTTCTTTCACCAAAAAAGACATCGTTTCCAATATGAGTCTTAATTAATACATTCTCTGTCTCCAGTGTAGCCACTTTTTATATGCATTTCCTTTGAATCTATTAACCCAGCCCAACTTCATAATCAAAAAGGAGTTCAGTTGTTACAATCTAGCCATTATTTGTACCATCATAAAAACAGTGCATAATTTAGCACAATGCTGTGTGAAAGGTGGCTCTGATGAGGTTCATAGCATTTCCACCAAGAAATGGGGTCGGCTTAACTTTCAGCTGGGAGTCACTGTGCCTCCAAAAAGATTTGAAAATCTTTGTGTTAAGCTTAAAGCTGTTATGTGATCTTTCTGATAGTTTACTCGTTAGCAGTGGCGGTGATAACACGAATAATCTCCACTATAGGAACCTTATTGTATTTGCACTCAGTCATTCAAAATCAACCCTTTACTGGAAAAGCTTTGTCAAGAGACAGCAGAGTAAACTATACAACTTCACTGACTTCAATGAGAGCTTTGCCTGAGCGTTTGCAAGCAGAATCAGGACCCCAGATTAATGAAAATTTATTTATTCCATTTCTAAATTGTATAGCTCATAAGTAATAAAACCCAGGTTCTTCCACTGAGAAATGAGAACCAACATCACTGACATATTTTATCATTTAAAAAATGCATTTGCGTCCATGCCAGTTTTACCCTAAAATGATTGTAATGAGCCCTGGGGCAGCTATATGCAAGTGAAGTGGTGGGCTAAGATTATATGGCATCCTTTAATTGCTGAACACACTATTTCCCTCAACCTAAACATCTTTGTTTTAACCTAGCATAGGTCATAAGGGAAACAGGCTGCATAGCAAACATATGTCTGCAGCACAAAGCTCCCATATAATTTCAAGTAGCTTGGCACAGTTGGCAGTGTCTGCTCCCAGGAAGCCCTGGAATGAAACAGCAGGTAGGGCTGCAGGACAGGAATGAAGTGAATTAGCAGAGCTACCGGTATGCCAAGAAACTTGCATAATAGCTTCTGCCTAGACCATGCATGACTACGTACAGTGATAGCAGGCCACAAATACCAACATTCAGTGCACTTAAGAAAAAAGATTATAGCAATATAATCTAATGGATGAATCAGCACAGTTGCGACCATGAAGCATTTTTGCTTGCTTTTGACCCTGAATAAAGTGAAAGCTGCTGAAGGGTTTTAAAAATTTCACAGATTTATAAACATTAAAAGGCTGACAAAGGATCCCAGTAATAAACAAAGGAATATGGTTGAAATATCTGCCTGGGAAGCTAGTAGAAGGCAAAATAATAAAATACAGCAAGCCAGAAAGAGACAATGCTATTTTTCACCTGTGAAAATATGAAAGCCATGTGCTCCAAAATGTGTAAAGACAAATGTCGAGAAAGGCACACATCCACTTTTTTGCATTTATCTCCTGTTATGGAAATCTTGTTCTCTTTTTGACCACAGCAATGACAATGCAGCATAGTGAATGTGATTTAAAATGGTAAACAGAGAAGAAAAGTGATTCAAAATTAACTTATTCGTTGCATTTTTTACTGTAGACAAACCTCACAGATAAGAAAACGCAGAAATACGAACAAACTAAAGGCAAAAATTAAAAGCCCTTAGAAACAACTTAACCTCTGGTTTCAGAAGTATTGCTTGTGTTGTGTGGTACTCCCCAAAATGATGTTCCAAATCATCCTCCTTGCAATACCTAACCTTCCTCCTCCCAAAAAACCACAACTTCCCCCTCTCACAAATCATCTAACTTAAATACATCAGTACCCCACACAAAAAAGGAGCAAAATGACAGCAGGCAACTAATTCTGCAGTCAGCACCATTATTCAGTATTTTTTTAATTTCATAAATAGATGTTTGAAGGTTAAGAGGATATGATTTTTGCTCTTGAGAGTACACATTATCCTTAAACTGTGCTTTTTTGTAGACAGGAGTATACGGGTACATATTGTATCAGTTTACTTTTCATTACAGAGGTGCTCATTTTGGAAATCATCCCAGTAAATATTAAAACTGCATTTCCTTTGCCTTGCAGTGACTCTTGCAGTAATCTACATCACCTGAATGGCCCCAGATTATTCTATGACCTCTTCTCCTGACCATTTTTTAATATAAGACATACAATATGCACAATATGCAGAGGATTATGGCATATACCTAGTTATTTCCTGTTTAAACCCTCTTTTTTGTAAGACTGGATATATTTTTGTGCAACACTGGCACAAATCAGATGAAATGGACTACTATGGGAAACACTCCCTGATAATGGAAATGCTGTTTTAAAATGGACTGGGATGATTTCCAAATGAACATCTCCTTAATGAAGTTGGTATACATACTCATACACTTCTAGCACTTATTTGGCTGGCATTCTGTGAAATGCTAATACAGTGTTTTAATTGAAAGGGGCTGACATTCCCTGCCGAAAATACAAAGCAAAAACTCATGGATTGTCTAGTGTCAGGGCTGTCCAAAGCAACTTGAAAAGAAGCTACCATGCTCAGTGTGGAATGAAGAATAATCATTATTATGAAGTATAAATTTTATCTGAGATGTCAGATTAAATTGAAAAGAAAATTCATCAGGTAGTATATTAAATTGTCCTTGGCCATGATACTGAAAAGTGGTTTGTCCCAGCAGAACCTATGTTTCTAAATGGGTGTATGTGGCAATGGGGACCGCTTTCAGGATCAAAGCCTCAGCGATTACCTGTGTGCGTCTTACCTGACTGACCAGGTGGTGGGACTCCTGACGATCCTCTTGGCAGACATAAAAATACAGTAAGGACTGCTGCTTTGTTTCCTGAACAAGGCTCAATGGCAATTGGTTTAGGAGCACCCTGAAAAAGAAGATAATTTTGTAATGTTCAATAAGGACTTGTTTTCCTCATTTTTTTTTTTAACTCTGTGGCTTTAAGTAAAGGCCCGCTGTAATGCTGGTCCACAGATATTCAAATATACAACCTGCAAAGGCTTCATGGCATACACCAATTTATTTCCTGTTCAAAGCGCTGTTTGGTAAGACTGGATATAGTTTTGTGTAACAAATCTGGCACAGAGCAGATGGTTCTCTCTCTCTATTGGTCCCCGCGTCATTAAACAGACTTTAAATGAACCCTAACATGGGCTTGGGGCACATTCCAGTCCTTCATTCCTATGTACATAACACTGTGCATTTCATTAAACAGAAAAAAAAATCTGACCATACAGATGAGAACATTTTATTTCTCGCTTTATACCTCAACAATACTTACTGATATCAATTTATTCAGTTACAGCAAAGAGATACCCACGAGATAATACGAGAATTTTAGTATTATTCCAGCTTGCTCATCATCCACTCATTCTTCATTTGCTATCATTCCAAAAGGCTTACATTTCTACCATAAGTCACTTAAGAAATTACCTAATAATAGTAATAACAAACAAAAATAAACCTCATAATATTTAAATGAGTCAATAAATAAGCCTAGTCTTTCCCACTTGGATTTTGCTTTGCATCCCACCTGTTTCCTCTATGTCTGCTTTGATTAAATTGTGAGCAATTTGCGCCAGGGACTCTCTAAATATTGTGTTAAGGAATACAATGCTGGCACATAAATAAGTTAATAACTGTTGGAAAATGCTGGCTTTGTAGTGAAGTCCCTAGTATAGAAAACTCTGACTATACTCTTTCTAATGGCAATGGAGTTGTGTAGTCATAACACTTTTTCCTATTTATTAACTACATTTATTCATTTACAAGTAACTATCAAAATAAGCTGCTTCCATATATTTCTTGAGTTACCAGGAGTCCAAGTACTAGCAGCTGAATGAATATAGAGCAGCATATGCATGCACAGAGTGATAAGTTTCTCAAATGAGTATTTCCAAGTAGTCACATTTCCATATTATGTGTGTACTATGTGATACAAGAGCATATTTGAGAGCTTAAATGTTTAATCAAACATTTAAAATAGCTTTGAAAATGTTAGGTTAAAATCAGTATAAGTGTACAGTTCTTTTCCTTGCTGGCACATTTGTAGAAAGTGTCTGTCATGTTGCAAAGCAGAGAAAAAAACAGCTGGATGCTTTCATTCAAAACTCAAAGCCATTAATTTACATGCAGTTTATATATATATATATATATATATATAT